ACCGGTTAGTGCCAGACGTCGCCAGTATGGCGATGAGCTTCTGCCAAGTATTTATAGACTTTGGCTGCGAGCGCCGGCTGTAATCCTGTGCATACCTCGATGCGCGTAGTTCTTCTGCCAAAATCTCCTAAGAATCTTCGGAATCTTCAGTTTCACTACGCGTCTGAGATAGAAAGCTATCTTCCCCTCGAAAATCAACTTCCAGGCCCTCATCAGATATATGTATATGCTTGGTCAATTGGTCTTCCGATACTTTTACCTCACATCCGCTATGCGGATCCTGGGTGGGGAGTTCATCAAATGAACCCTGATGAGACGGTTCCGGATCACTATTATAAAACAGCCTCCTCTTCACAGAAGTTGGAGCAAAAGAATGGTAAGGGCCCTCCGCAGACACACCCACATACGCCTCCTCCCAGTCGAACCTGTTATTGCGTCGACGCCTATCTCTTCTCGGGCGCGGGCGAGGTCTTTTCCTACCAGAAGACGGCGAGCTCTGATTCGGTGCATCACAACTATCCATTTGGACATCACTGAAGCCGCGGATATATGAAAAGTATTGGATCGAGGGAGATGAACCTGAAATGTTCGATATCGAAAACACGTGTAAATCTCGAGAAACGCCGCACCGCATTTTTGTGTCACGAACGACGAGAAGCCTGACAAATTTTGCTGGTTACCTTTTCCGGCACTATTCCACGCTGTCATTACATAATGACAGGGTGGAATAGTACTTGTCCCTGAACTACACCCTGCCTTTCGTCATGCAGCCTCCATATTCTGATCAGCCATCGTGCAGGCGGTTGATTAACCGAAAGAGCCCATCAACCGTTGTCGGAGCGCAGAACCGGCACATCAAGAGAAGGGGAAACAAAAACTTTCTCAAAACCATATTTCCCCGTGATGGTAACTCTCCGGATGGAGAAAATGACGAGCCCGGCATTCCACCCGTCACGAGACTCTCGGACATGGAAACGCAGCCACCTCCAACCGAAGAAGCAGAGAAGAGGAATGTACTTGCTCAGGAACGTCCCCGTTCGAGAAGCCAATCTCATCGGCGTTCTGATCTCGAAAGTGCGGGATTCAGGCGACAGAGGGGCTCGGCAAGAGCCAATTTACCACGAAAGGAACACGTCAGGAATCAAGAGAGAAACGAAAGGGACGAATGCCCTGATGAGCTTGCTTGTAGGAACTCAGGAGACGTGGCAGCGCCAAAAGTGCGCTTCTCGGGCAATCAAAGTGAAAGTACGGTACGGCCAAGCCTTAGTGAGATTCGAGCAGTATCTGCCAGACCCAACACAGGCGGAGCATTGAGCTCGTTTTGCATCTTTCTGGATAACATGCAAAAGTCAGTACTTTCTCGCCTTGATACGATAGAAGGAAGCATGAAGGGTGTTCAGAGAGATCTCGAAAGTGTCAAAAACGCCCTAACAATCATAACGCAGATATTGGTGCAAGAACCAACACTTTATTGAAAGTCAACTCAAAGCGAACTGCAAGCACGTCTTCGAAATGGACGTTCAAAGACATCGTCGATATGGAAAACCCAACTCTGAAGTCGCAAGTGGAAAACGTTTTCGTATTTCTCTCATGTCGCAGGTTATGGCAGATTCTTCTTGCTATTTCATGGAGTACGCGTGCTCGATGGGGTCAACCCTTGCCCATATCCACCTTGGAATGGCAGCATTTCTCTACGGGCATCAAAAACAAGCCACAGAAAAAGACTTTAAGTCAGGCCCCGCTCGCGTGCATTGTGATTTCAAATCTCGATTCGTCCGAACATAATTCGCTGAGGGCGGAAAGCAGGTGCAGAGGGATTGCATGTGTGAAAACGAGTCTCGAAGATCGTTGAAAACAAGCCTTCCATCAGACGGTCATGAAAGATCCCTCGCACGAGTGGAACATGGGCCAGGCTTATCCAATGTTATGTTGCCTTTGCGAAAAGCCCCGTACTGGCTGGATTCTAAGTACATTGGAAGACATGCGTTAAAGAAAACCCGACAGTTAGTGGAGACTAAAGCAAAGCCTGATAAGAAGGGTGTAGACACGAAAAAGGGACGTGAAAGCCTGGACATTGCGCACACTGTATACTCAATGTCTACGGACTTTTTGAGAGTCACGTGTGGCGGCTAGGAAACGCTTCTTCCAAGATCTGGGGTTTGCGCTTAGACCATGGGAGGCGAGTAGAGGAATACAGCAGGAGTTCGGGCAGCCTCGTTTGACCTTCAAGTATCCGGAGCACCCGTTCAATTTTCGTGACCATGTGTCATCTGCGGTGACATCAGAAGCCCCTGATGCAAATGTGTTAAACTTGCAGGCTCTGCAAGAAATGATGTCATCTCGACTGGAACTTGACGTTCTGGTCGATTACCATGTGATCGTGGGTGATGGCATGCTGAAGAACGGGATACAAAAGAGAAGGTTTAAGCCTGCGGAACGCAAGCAGATGTACCGTACAATCAATCTTGCACGTGTTGCTGTTAACTTTTTCGTGGCCCTAACGCAAGGGAGAGGAATTAAAAAGTTCCTTGAGAGCCACCCTGGGTCGTTACGAGCAGTTTATTGGACTGCTTTGCCTTTTAGATGGTTCGTCCGTGACATTAAAAATGGCAATCGCCATATCGATATGCCTTCGACGTTGGCAGGGGAGAACGAGATATGCCTGCAACAAGAAAAGGGGAAAGGTGTTGGACGTGTTGGACATTACCATAGAAACGATCGAAAGAATGAGGATAAACTTTTTGAGGAAGAGGATGAGAGCATACAGTTTTGTGGTGAGCTAGAGGAAAGTGGAGGTGCGCCGAACGGTCGCAAAGGGCAGTTATCCCAGGGTCAGATAAATGATGAAGATCTGAGTGAACGCGAACAAAGCGATGAGTCGCAGCAAGGGAGCACCACGATTCGGTTAAAGGTAAGGGACTTCATCCCGGGGCATTCGAAGCAGAAAGATATATTGGGTGCTTACATCTTGAGAATGTCTCCAGCGCAATTTAATCAGCTCTGCTTGTACTCACCCAGGAGAACCGAAATAGATACAATGCCGGAAACGCCCTTGATCGTCATGACAGGATCGGGGTTCATGCAATAGCTGAAAATGATGATGATTGGGAAGATCACTCTGATGACGGATTTGATTTTGAACATCTCCTTCATCATGAAGTGGAAGGATTCAATGAAAATTGAAAAAAATTGGTGGTACAGCTTCTGAGGGAGTCGAACTATGGGTGTGTCAGAGCGGCTGTCCGATTCCCCGGATGCCGAAGTAGAAAGGCAAGATTATAAAGTATGGCCCCGTATCGGCCCCCGCATTTCCACCCGCTTACCCATACCACATTGCGTCTACGGAAGGCGGGCCGCACTCCCTCCCTCCCACCTCCTTCCCCCAGCGCAATGCCGCCGATGGTGCCCGCGGCGCCGCTGCAGCTGATGTCCGTAGTGTGCGCTGGACTGGTGTCCGTGGTGTGTTCGATCGTGCTGTCGGTGCTGCGCCCGCTGCTCCCGACGTCGCCGCAGTCTGGTGGCCTGTCTCCCGGTGAAAGCGTAAGGCTCACAGCCTCAAGAAGTACGACGAGGTTGGCATCTTCCCTGCTCTCCCAGATCGCTTCGGCAAAGTGGAAGATCACTTGCCCAGACAAAACACACCGCCATACACATTGGGGACGCAAGGCTCTGACGATGACATTTCGCGCTTCACGAAAAGCATCAGACATCCCCAAACATCCCGTGTAGGTGGTAGTTGCTTTGTTTGGTACATGAATTCACTCATCGTCTATTTGGGCCACAACCGCGGCCCCACTCAACACCACACTCAAAGACCGTAGCCCACTCACAATCGTCGTTGTCAGAGCGCCACGGGGCGATATACCACACAAATACGCGCTTGAGGCTGTCAATAGGAAGATGCTCAAAGTGATACGGCAGCAAGAATCCTTGATATTCTGAGAAATAGTCTTCCATCGTGGCAATGATGTCAAGCATGAATTCTGTGCCGGTCTGCCACTTGCGTCCTTAGATAAGAATCCATTCCATCTATGAGCACTAATACTGCTTGAAAACCTGCGGATGAGAGAGACAAGAGCTGCTCAAGCTTGAGAATGCGTTTCCATCGAAAGACCACAAGTCCGCACAGCACTCTGCCAGCCGAGCGGTATGGCTGAGAGTGTCCATATCACGACATGAGGAAATTGTTTAGCGAAACTCGTTCTTAGATTATCACGCAAGAGCCTGTGGTAAAACCTCCAGATAAGGCCTTTCCATTTCTGGGTTCCCCCTTTGAATCGTTCGGAATGCTTTCGGATAAGAACGTCGATACACTTTACCACTTTAAACAGATAGGCCATTCCTTCTCATTGAAGTGCTGCCTTGATAGTTATCTTACTGCCTCAATAAAGGCACCCATCATCTTATCCAACCGATATTCGCACTTCAGTAATTGCCTCGTCGTCCGCAACACATCGATTGCTGCTGTCACATGTACGAATCCATCAGCAAGAGGCCCCCCGCGGGAGATGTTTGGCTGCAGGTCCAGCAGCGACGAGAATCTTCCGAATTGGTTTTAGCACCAACTGCGGATCTCGATTTTCTTCCGAAAGCTCATGTTTGAGACTTGATGCTTGAGAGCGACACGCGCTTAACTATCGTGACGAAACTGAGGAAAGAAGTTCTGGTTCTACAATACCTTGGTCGAAGCACAAACCTGATGCGTGATTGACCGAATGCATCTCTATGGCTGCGACAATAAAAGCATGGAACTGCTCCCTGCGCTGAAGAAATTCAGGTAGGTCCCGAAATGCTTTTATTGCCACAACAAAAGCATAGTGCGCACTTCGCAACGGCTTGCCTAATACCTCGTAGATGACAGCCTTAATAATCGCAAGTGAGGGAGAAGGGGGGTGCGGAGGCATGTGTATCGTTTCCGTCCATTCGTGACCCGCTCCAGTGATCCAGCCTATCACTTTAGAAATATTGTGATGTCTATAATAGCATGGGAAAGACGTTTCACAAACATGAGCGATCCTGCTACTTTTTGTTTTTACGTTTAATAACTTTTACGAAACATTTCAGCTAACATGACTGGTTGCATTGCTGTTATGTATATATATATATCAATTCGCAAAAATCAAATCCCTGGAACACTGAATATTATTGTTCCTGCATTTAGCGCCTTTGCAGTGGTACGGCAGCGATCGGCGTGGGGAACCATCGGACGCCCAGATAGTTCTTGACAAGTGAGTTGCTTTCATTTGATCAGGTCTCGAATGCTCTGATGCGTGAGCCGGCAACGGCCACTCGCATCCCGTTGCCGTGTGCTGGACATATCCCAGTAAAGAGACCCCGTGGAAAAGCGTGCCCACGGCATTGCGATCATCAACGAAACGCAGATACCGCAAAAGTGAGCCACTCTCTTGACAGAGACCCATCGCCTCCTGTAGCGAACGACTTTCAGAATTTGTCGTGCAAGCAACTGTACTTTCATCAGCTTTCGGGGAGCGATAAGAAAGCGCATTGTCACGCTGTCTATCTGAACACCCAGATGCTCGATGTTTGGGGAACCTTTCCAATCGCCCTTCTTCGGGTGCCGCCGAAGACCAAGGGCCCCCAGGAGCGTCGAAATAACCGGGACAGCGTCTCGGTAATGCTGTGATGTTGCGACGACCCCAAAAGGTGATGGAGCGATCAAAAAATCGTGTACATATGCCAGGACACGGTATCCACGGGATCGCATCTCGCGAGCGAAAGGCGCGACAAACTGGGTGAACCACAACGGGGAACGCCCCCAACCGAAGGGTAAAGCAATGCACTGGTAGTATCGGTCTTCCTACCGGAAATAAACCAATCCCTCATTGCTGAGGCCAAGCGAAAATGTCTGTACCCCTTGTAAAAAGTCCATTGAGACGAAATGGTCTCCCCTCTGAACTTCCATTCCAAACTGGGACAGGGACTCCATCCGAACAGAACCCTTTGCCAAATGCTGTGACTGCTTGGACAAATTAACGACGAAGCGTCCTTTTTCTCCGTCTCCAGTGTCTTGCCAGACTGTAAAAGCTGAAGAAATTATGGCTCCATTCACCATTGCTCGGGATGCGTGCTGCTGACTTATCTCTCGATATATCCCTGAACGACATCTTTCCGCCAAACCCTGGCATGCAAAGCCTTTGTCTTCTTCTGACTGCGGAATTATTCCCAATTCTTCCCCCTTTCCACGTACAAATGGGGATGCTGGCGGATCGAATATCTCGTACTGGACTGCTCGGCATAAAAACTACGAGGCGGCGCCATTTATCAACACGAAGATGCGTTTCGAGCCAAAGAGAGCGTCCAAATACTATGGCGACTACTGGCCCTTGGCAGCGCCCCTCTTTCCGGCACGCTTCGTGCGTTTCTGGCGTTTAAGGTGGCGACTGCCTTCATCAATTGACTGCAAATGTGTGTTTCCAGCTTCTCCATCGGTTCTACGAGATCGTCCGCAGCTGGTAGCTCGTTTCTCTGTTCAAGCGAAGGCATAACGAGTTTGGCATAGGTAGGGTCCCGAGGTACCATTCGGTAAAATTCACAGCGGAGACCGGCAATTCGAAGACCGTATCTGACGGCCATCTGCGACCAAAAGTCGTAGAGCAGGGCCTTGTCGTCCCCTTTTTTTCGGGATGGCGTCGTTCTGGAGTACCATCGCTGCTTCACTGAAAGCCATCCAGTAGCCGGTTGCACTAGTGTAATTGGCCTCGTATTCAAATACCGGGCCCATACTGTTATGCTTTTCCATAGCCTTACGAATCGGACACTCCCGATGTTCGAAAAAGCCACCGCAAAACGCAGAGACACTGGGATTTTGTTCATACGGATACCTGGTAAAGTCGAAGTCCTTGTCATTCCTGCAGCGGCGGGCAATCACACCATAAGAATGCATCCATTTCGGGTCGATCTCCGCTTCAGACAGGGACGTACCCTTAGAGACTTCTTTTCCCTTACGCAAGAGCTCCTCAACGAGATTGAGGCTTGCAGCGAACGTAGTCATGCTTGTACCAACGGGAGCTGAAGCGTTTGCACCTGGTCACTTCCTTTTTGACCGCACTAGAAAATCCGCCTTCCGCCAGAAGTTCTGGGGACTCTCTTTGGGAAAAGAGAGAGGCATACCAAACTGTCCCGCCTGGTAGGCCGCCTCTCGCCCCTCAAATACGGAATGTTGGGCCGGGGTCCTGGCAACTTTCCCGCCATGTGCGAAGGCGGCGGTAGATACGATCATAGGGATCCGAGATCCAATTTGGGAGTCTATCTCATCTTAATCATACGCATCGTGTAATGCCAACCAACTTGGCCATCCTTGCTATCCAGTACTTACACGTTTCATCCGCATAAACATTTACGTCTACACAAGACGAAAAACGGCTTTGAAAAGACTAAAGTTTTTCCCCTTACGAGCGCCATGATATTGCTTCCAAGTTTGAGAGCGGATCTTCCAAAACCCTCTGTTCTTACAAGGTCGAAGACTAAGCAGTTCAAGAAAAACAAGTCCCAACTGCCTCAGCTGTGCCTCTAAAACGAGATGTGATTGCCGTCTTCAGCAGCAGCAGAGGAGATTTGGAAGTGAAAAAAATTCATGAATCAAGACTACGTTGGATGTTGGAATTCCTTTTCGGAGCATGTGTGCCTTGCTAGTGACTACCACTAATCATGTTTCTAGTCAATGAGCTGCTTCGGAGCGCGTTCTTGACCGTAGCTGACTAAATAAAGGCGTTATTGAGGTCAATAGAAACCTTTGCATGCGGTCATGCCTTGCTCATAGAACTCTCGTTTTGAGAAGTAGACATGTAGACAAGCTGACCACACCGTTTGCGGAATAACAAAGCAGTGCAACTGGCATGGGTTTCCCGCCAAATTCTTTAAATTCAAAATAATTGAGATAGACTGCCCCCCGTATGAAATTGTTGCAAGTCCTTCGTTAGCGGTCCTTCGCAAGCTAACGCGCCTCCAGGCCATCCCCATCAGAACCAACTTCGATTTTGCTATCAAGTCAAAGAGCGTCCTGCGTTTATTCCGCGCAGATGTGATCACGTTCAGCGTACCCATCCGACGAGACAACACGCAAGGTCCCCCATCTTCTGGTACCGAGATATCCTGCTCTCCTCACTAAACATGAGGCCTCGGTCCAACACCTCTCCACGCGCCTTTTCACCGCTACAAAAGTCAAATGTCACATATGCAACGTTCTCCGACGCATTAGTTGCGCTCGGGTTCAACCAGGCTCAATCTCAGAATTATGAATGGTTGACCTCATATCCAGAAGCACGTCCATTCCTTAACGCCATTCAGACCTCGTTCACACCAGAGTGTGTTCTAACAGAAGCTGAAGCTACCACTTTTGAAAAATTTAGTAAGAATACTCCACAGTTACCTGATGAACAGCTGTACATGGCATCTCGCCCTCTCATGAACGGTACAACACAATACCCAGACGTCCACCATCAACGTCAGTCCCGCCTGGAAGCTGCTCGAGAGCGGTTGAGTATGTTGAAGAAACAGAAAGAAGTTTTAGAGGAAGCGCTCTCTCACAAACGAGCACGACCCAGGGGTGCGCTTTCTCCTCATACACCTCCACTCCGAAGGAATCGTTTGGGCGAAGAGCAATCGACAGAGCAGCTGGCAGACGAATTGGCCGCTTTCACACCGACCGAATCCCTTTTCATGGGCGCGGAGGCGGGTGTGGCCGCGTATATACGAAAGGAAGAGGAGTTTTCTGAGGAACTGCGTTCTTACGCACAGCAAACTGTGCAAGACAAAGTACATGATGAGCACCGAAGCTCACACGAAACAGAGACATCATCCCTCGTCCGTTCGTACGCCGCCATCAAGTCAAATCAGTTTATCGAGGAAGCACGCCTTGCTCGGGCGAATGCTATACTTATCTACATCAATATGAACAAAGCCGCATATACTGAGATGCCATTGGGATCTGTACATTCTCTTATCAAGGACCTGCGGCACCGCGGATCTCTGGCAATAAAGGCGCGGGCAAAAGAACTTGAAGATGAAGCGCAGGAGACACTTTGGAACCAAATACAGGAGATTGCATTGTCGGAAACCCTACGGCAACAGGAAAGTGTTCTTGAACTGGAGCGCTTTTGCGCTGTCCGTTGTCTGGAGCAGCGACTTCGGATTCAGAGTTTCAACGTAGCGGTCAAGGCGCAAGAAAAACGACTTGCAAAAGTATCTAATGCGTTGCACCACTTATCTCTACCACATGAGAACAGTGATCAAAGCAACAGACAGATCTCTGCTGGTGGACGTGGCACGTTTACAAAACCTGGCGAGAAGGAGCTCGTAGAACTACAACGAAAACTTGAAGAATCTGCACCCGGCGCAGATGATATGTCCACCGACAACGTTATTTCGGTGGAAAATGATGTTTTTGATTCCGCAGTCGAAACTCTGGCTGACATGCTCACAGACTTTGCAAACAGAATCGGGTGCGACGATTCTTGGCTTCGCCTCGAATCACATGCCGAGTTTGCACCGCTGGTTGAAGATTACGAAAGAGTCTTGAACTACAATACGTCCATTTTGGAAGCTGTTCTTAAGAGGCGGCGATCCCCGAAGGGGCTCAGTCCAAGAAGCCGAAATTGGGTACAAATAGTAAACTCTTCGCGCTAGCTAGGCTTCTCGCTCTCCTTTCTGAAGTGTAGGTAATGCTATTCAACGATCAGAAGGACATATGTCTCCCGGAATATCTATGGTAGTGCATATAAATCTCACGACGAAATGAACATGTGGGAGGCGCTTTGGACAAATCCAACTTTACATTTCTCAGTGCTCAAAAACGCAGTCGTAAAACAGGTGAATCGCGGGAGAGTACCGCTCACACACAACACTCGCGTTTGAAAAGTAGCAACCATGGCTGTTGAGATATAGGGTGATAGTCAGCCCCAGCCGCCTTCCTGGCATGTGACTCCCTGGTACAGTAGCATGCTCTTCGACATTCTGCGAGCTGAGACGGTATTGATAGCGGTCACATGAAACCGTCCATGGGGAGCGCCTAACGCCTAGTGCATGATAGGTGTTGATATTGTTGGACATTTCATTCTTCTGTGCCCCTTTCATCTCCAGTAAAAGGAGTTCTTACGGACTATTACTGCGGTTTTAAACTACATGACACTTGCTACAATGGAAATACAAGCAAACTCACGCAAAAGTACACCATTGTTTCTTGAGTGAACGGTTGATGCAGCGTACCACGGTTTTACAGCCCATGGTCAGCGAGTTGTCCGGCCGTCAATATCCTGCACACACAGTGTCCAAACGCACACAATCGCAGAGAGTGCATCCAGAGGTGCGTTTTCAACAGGCAGTTTCCAACCTAGAATTTGCAATCAAGCACCACAGTGAGTACTATCTCGGAAACACGAGCGATGTAACGTGATCAAGACGGCCTTCATGGTGTTTGCACATGATGTCGGTGTGGGGTGTGTGTCATTCATTCATATCCGCACCTTGATACTTCGGATACCTCATCCAAAATTGAGAGGCGAACAAAGGCGGGACTTCCGGGAGTGCCGCGATCCCGTCTGCGATATTCTGCTAAACGCTGCTCTGTTCATACAGGGCCGAAAAAGTCGTACCACAAATACATGATACCCCTTGCGTTAAAAAATGGTGCAGGCAAATTCACGATAGGCAAACCCAAGCCAACGCGATGGCTTCAGAAGCCTACCAAATCGGCACGAGTTGCTTCCCACCGCATGTTGACGCCAGATCTCTTGGCAGCAGCGACGGCAACATGGCCGGGATAGAAAGATAGAGCTCTTGGTACTCCAGCCCTGTGTGCCGATCCGGGCATCTTCACGTGAACAAATGCGGAAACAAACTGGTGGGAGTGGAAACGTATGTTCGATGACGGCAAGCCCTTCCACGGTCCAAACTCAAGCTCACATCACCATCCTCCCGAAGCCCAGACACCTCTCACCGCTCTCCCCCGACCCCCTGATCTTCTTCTCGTCCTCACTTTACTAACAAACAAGCGACGTCCCAGGCCACCCCCTTCACACACACGGGGCAACATCTGAGAATAAATCGTTCTCTTCTGGGTCATCCTTTGTGGAGTTTGCATCGGCGTTTCTGATGGTCTGATGGGCCATAGGCATGCTCTGCGGCGGGGAGGCGCCTCCCATGGCGGTCAAGTTGGGGCTATTCCTCAAACCACCCTTCTCGTCGACCCTGGAAGCGACGCCGAACGGCTGCATGCCTTGCGGCATGTGGAAAAACTCGGACAGCTCCTCCGGGGTCTGCAGGACCAAAAACGAGTCTGTGGCGATGGCGGACTGGTGGGCTTGGGCGTTGGGGGAGCTCTGGTGGCTCGGTGTCTGGGATGACAAGGCGTTGTGTATTTGCTGCTGGTGGTGACGATGGCGCTGCATGGGTGTGGACATGGGCTGTGCGGGGCGCGGCGGGATGGCGGGGGCGGCGGACGCGTGCGGGACGGGCTGACTCAGGGCAGAGGCCAGGCCGTCTGGGATGGCGCGGCGCAGGAAGAGCTCTGCGGGGATCTTAGCGACGTCGGGGGCAAACGAGTCCTTGAGCGAGCTAGCCTTCTTGAGGGCCTGCCAGAGCATGATGTTGTCGGTGCGGAGGCGCTTGACCTCCTCGCGGACGGTGTCGAGCTCGGTGCGGAGGTAGGCCTTGTCCGCGCGCAGCTCGACCTTTTCGGCGCGGAGGTTGTCGATCTCCTTGTTGATGGCGGAGACGCGGTCGCCGAGCGAGGCGAGATCCTTGCTCTGGGCGGCGAGGCGGTGGGCGGCCTCCTTGAGGACGGCCTCCTTGTCGATGCGCTTGCCGCGCGGCGGCGGCACGGGCGGGTCGGCCGGGAGGACGAGGCGGCCCGAGGCGTCCGGGCGCGGGGTCATCAGGTGCAGCTTGGCCTCTAGCTCGGCGAAGCGGACGTTGACGAGGTTGCGGCGGTTGCGCTCCAGCTCGCGCTTGCGCTCGGCTTGCGACGGGCGCAGGCGGTGGCCTTCGTCCTCGGATGAGGGCCCGGGCGAGCGCTGGCGCTTGCGGTCGCGGGGGGAGGACATGGCGAGGGTTGCTTGCAACGGGGAGGTTCGGGGGGGGAGGGCGGGGTGGGGAGGGGGGGGTGCTGCGATGCCTGCGCAGGAAGGGAGGTGGTGCGGAGGCAGTGGGATAAGGACAAGGGCGCAGTAGAGGGGGCAGAGGGGACACGTGTTGGGAGCGGCTGAGGGGTTTGGGGAGGACGCGAGATATTTGATGGCGGGTGGTATGGATGGAGGTGGTGAGGTCGCCGGCAGGGCGGGCGATGATGCGTGACGGCAGAGACGATATGGCAGTGGTTGGGTCGGGAGAAGAGGAAGCGACGTATTTGGTGCGGCGGTGGCCGAATTTCCAGGAGCGGCGCTCAACATGGTACACGTGTGCAGCGATCTGTGGGGAAATACGGCGATTATTAGTGCGCCCAGCCGGCGTGCATCCAGCTGGCGCGCACTTCATTACATTACGGCAACGCGCCGTACAGTGCCGTTCTGTACTCACTGTACAAGACGCGCCCCAAGTCCTGCTTCCAGCGCATCGCGGGACAAACAATGCGGCCGCCTCGCTTCAGCTCCGTCAGTGACTGGGAACCCAATTGCCTTTGCCCCAACATTCGCCTCGTCACACTGCCACGCCATGCATACAACCATACACATCCCTTCTGGCACGAACACACGTGTTTGCTTATGGCCCTCTGCAATAAATCTGCACTCAATGGTGAGTCGAGCTGTTCACTGAACACTACGTCCCGCCTTTCATGTCCCGCGCCTCCACAGTAGCTCTTCCACATAGTAGCGTCTCCACAGCAGCGCCTCACCCTCGTCCTCCGCGCCCCTCACCCCTACATACTTGTACCGTACTCATCCTTACTGCCCTGCGCTCCGTCCCTCACGAAACGGTATGCGGCACGGACAGCAGTACGTCCGCCCGATTACTCCCCGTCCGCTCATCGATGCGGATGCCCACGTCCGCCAACGACACACCCTCGCGCTTCGGCAGCCGCCTGCCCTCATAAATCAGCTCGAACAGCTCGCTGCTCATCCCATGTCTCCTCTCCACCTCGTCCCACAGCCCCTCCAGCGTCTTGACCTCCTCGACCGGGATTGCGTACCACACCTGGGGCTCCCACGTCTGCACAATCACGCACCCATCGTACGCCAACCCCATCGGCCTCCGCCACGCCTCGGCCCCCGCGCACACGGCCGCCACGCTCATCGCAGCCCCACCCTCGACAAGCGTCACGGCCTCGCCCTCTTGATACGGCAAGTACACGAACGGCAGCAAGTGCACCCTGCCCTCGCCCACGCCGCGGACGTCCACCTCGCCCATACACACCCCGTTGTCCAGAAACGAGAGGCGCCTCCTCGCCGCGTCATACAGCACGCCCACCACATCCCCCTCGCGCATCTGCCTCCCGTACGCGCGCCGCTCCCCCGCGAGCGACACCCTTCCAAAGCAGTCGAAGCTCCACGACGACCGTCTCTCGACCGTGGCGAAGCGGAACGCGTACGGTGTGGCGACGCCGACGTCGATGCGGTTGCCTTGCATGCGGTCGATGCGGAAGCGCCAGAACGCCGACGTGCCGGACACGCACCGGTCGAAGATGACAAACGCGTCGCCGGCGGCCGCCGTCTTCGTCAGCGTGAGCTCCTGGCCGCGGCGCGCGGCGCGCAGGTGCACGCCGCGCGCGGCCTCGCGCCGCACGCGACGCGACAGGTGGATCGGTAGCGCGGTGTCGCCGTACGGGCCCACGCTGCGCACCACAGAGGCGAGGCGGCGGCAGGTCTGCGCGAGCGCCTGCGTGTGGTGCGCGGCGTCGTCGTGCACGTGCATCACGATTTTGAGAAGCACGTCGAGAGGGAGGGAGGGCAGCGAGGGTGGAGGGGAGGGGGGCTGCGCGGGGGCCGCGGCTTTGAGGGGGAGGGGGAGGACCGGGAGCGTAGAGGATGCGGGGAGGGTGGTGCGGGGCATTGTGGGAGGAGGCGTGGAGGAGGGTGGGGGGTTGTGGGATGGGGAGGGTGATGCGAGGCGAAAGGGCGAGATTGCATTGGCGAAAAGGATGCGGGGCGGGAATGGCGTGGATGCGGTGTACGTTTTTCAGGGGCTAATGTTACGGTTGGGGGAACCGGGGGAATTTATATATATGGTTGGAGAGTTGTGCAATATCTTGGATACAGAGAGGTACCGTACTCGGCCATCCAGTGGGTGTGAAGAAGAATAGAACCTCACTTTTTGAAAAAAAATTACGGCACTTCAATACACTACATACAGTATGTACCTTTCAAGGTACAGTAGTATCATAATTTTCTCAACAACGAATGGCATTCGATGCTGAGAAATTATGGTGCTGTACTACATTATTGATGTCAATATTCCAATTGTCAGCAATATATTTGCTGATATCAACAGCACTGCGCACCACCGTCTCACATGTGGAGGCTGCCTTCATCCTGATACGCAAGATATCTTCGAAATACTGTAGCACCACTTCGAACACACACAAAAAAAAAACCTCCCAGTTTTGTTTTAAATGCATCTTTTCGGGGCTCCCTACCTGAATTAACGAGCAAGTCGCTGCAGCTTCGTGCATTGTCATTGCATTCGCCAAGGAAATATGGTGTGGACCGATGTGCAAAACGGGGCATGTTAAGACACACCCACAGGGTGTGTCTTAACATGCCCCGTTTTGCTGCGGTTTGCTTTGCTTTGCCCAAAGAAGTGATTTGGCGTGCTGTGAGTGGCTCCTAAGTTTTAATTTATGTGTTTAAGAAAAGCAAGGGCTTAAGAAGCATACGGTATTTGTTAAGAATTTAAAAGTATTCCTGGCAAAACCGGGCAAGGCAAAGCAAAAACCAGCCTGTTAAGGGCGAGCATCGGGTGTTGGTTGTGCCGCAGAAACAGGCACACGTTGTATACGTGCCCGTATACTGTAATTAAAGTTGTGTCACACAACTTTAATTACTGTATAAAGTTTATACATGCAGTTGGACCCCTTGATACTGTAGTGGACAAAAGTGTTCACAGTGATTGTAGAGTCTACATGTATAATGCAATCACTGTGAACGTCTACATTGTAGACGTACAGCACTCCCTTGCCACAACAGTAATAGTCCAAATGGACTTATTACCGTACTTAGGACACCGAGGCGTCTCTAAATAAATTGTTTCATTTCGATAGTTGGGAACCCCTTCATAGTTGGACCCCTTGATAGTCGTCGCCACTCAATATTTCCATCCACACAACCTATTGATGGCAGCTGCTACTGTAAATCACTTTATGCATACAGTAGTCTCCGTTCCGCACTTTACCTTCATTCAACTCTGCGTATCATACTGTACCCTTGGGTACAAGAACAAAGCAGTGCTCCTCCTGTACCGTAGTGCACGCACTGTTTCTCTACCAAAATGTCGATATATTTTTCAAAGACGCTGCACCTACAGAGTATTGATTTCGAACTTATCGCGGGAAGGGAGTGAGTCTACAGTACTCCCTTGCCCTCCCTTCACACGCCGCCTCCCTCTTCCTCGCCGGCCACTTCCCCGTGCCCGAGCCGCGCCTCCGCGGCCGGCACCTTAAGCCGTGGGGCGACGCGACTAAGCGCCGCCGCAGCGAGCACGCCGCTGGCGGCGAGGGCGGCAAGCACGCCAAAGCTCTGCACGTACTCCCCCGAGGCGTCCCTGAGCGCCCCCGTCACGACGTGCAGCACGGCAAGCGCGGCGTTCTCGACGCCCTTGTACAGCCCAAGTGCCGCGGGAGTCGCCACGTCCTCAACGCATAGCGCGAGGCTGGAGAGCAGCGTCACGGGCGCGATGCCGAGGCCGGTCGCGACAAGAAACAGGCCGCTAGCCACGGCCGCGCGCCCGCTCTCGCGACTCACGCCGGACGCGCACAGCAGGATGCCGAGCCCGATCGCGCCGCAGCTCACGCCCAGTAGCAGGCTCCGCCGCCCGAACCGGTCTTGCGCCACTCCGACCGCCGGCGACGCTAGCCCCGCGAAGAGCACCAGCGAGCCCGAGAGTAGCCCGGATTGAACAAAGGACAAGCCTAAGTGAGCGGAGAACGCGTCTGCAGCAAAGTGCAGCATGGAGAACACTGCGCCCGCCACCGCCACCCACAGGTAGGAGATGAGCCAGAAGGAGGGCGACAGCGAGCGCAGGACGGCAAGCATACGTGGGGGGCCAACAGAGTCCGCGGCGGGGCCGTCGTCGGGAGGCAGCAGGCGGGCGCCCTGGGCGTCGTCGGCGGGGGTGTATGCAAGGTCGGCGGGTGCGGCAATGCGGGGCACGCAGACTGCATACGCGATGGTGGCGAGGAAGCCGGGCAAGCACATCACGACGGAGAACCACATGGAGGCGCGGAGGCCGATGCGGCTCGAGAGGAAGGCCGGGAGTGCCAGGCCGGTGAAGGAGGAAAGCCTGCTGACGAGGAGCGTGAGGCCGAAGCTGGTGCCGATGCGGTGGCGGAACCAGTGCGCGACCAGCGCGCCCTGCAGCGTGGTGAGCGCGCCGTCGCACAGGCCGAACAGGAAACGGCCGGCGAAGAGCGCGGCGTACGACTGGTTATGCAGCGCGACGGCGCAGAGCGCGGTGGAGATGAGCACGCAGGCAGAGAGGGCGACGGCCGCCGCGGCGTGCGGCACGTAGGTAAGCGCTAGCCCGCCCGCCACCGGCAGCACGATGCCCGGCAGCTCCTGCGAGGAGAAGAGAATGCCGAACTCCACGCGCCGCAGATCTAGCGCGGCCATGATCTCCGGGCCCAGGCTGGACAGGCTGTGCTTGCCGTAGTGTGAGCCGATGGTGATGAGGGAGAGGAACAGGAGGAGGAGGGCGCGCGAGGGCGGCGGCGGGGCGGGCGGCGTCGAGGCGTACGGCGCGGCGCGCATTCTCATGGCGGCGGGGTGCGGGGGGGGGGATCGGGAAAGTGGGGAAGCGGGGGGAGGGAGCTACATTGCTGGGTGTGGGCGGGGGAGGGGGGCGGGGAAAAGACTAGGGGAGCGAGCGGACATGAAGGGGGAGCTTGTGCCGGTGGAGCCGGTGCGGGCGGTCAGCCGCAGATTGGCCGCAGTTTGCGAACTCTTCGTTAGGAACGGTCCTGAGGGCCGTTCCTAACGAAGAGTTTGCCGTGCCAGCACCCGAGCACCCTGAAACTTGGCATGAATGTATTGGTTGAAAAAATTATTGGAAATGCTTTTACTCTCGTTCAGGGGGCGGATGCGGCGGATGGTGCTCGGTGCAATGATTGGAGGTGAGTTTCTACGCGTCGAGGACTCACGGCGTACATACCGTACACGTGTGTACGAATCGTACAGGTGTACAAAAGGTATTTAGAAGGGCAAACTGTCAGAGCACTGGCTTACAGAGAGAGGTAAAAGGCGTTGCGACGTGTAAAAAGGCACGCCGGGTGGAATTGACGTGAGCGGGCGCACAACAGGGGGCGCGTGGGGGCGGGGACGAAGGGAGCGCCGTTATTCGGGCGCGCAGTGATTGGCTGTATGGCGAGGTTGCGCGGGGATGCGCCCAATGGGGCACGCGCACGTGGGCGAGATTCCGAATCTGCGGGTACGGAGGGCCCAGCGGGGCAAGCGCCCCGGGGCGTGCGCAGAGCATGCGCTGAGCATGCGTGTGTGCGCGTATAGAAAAGGGAGTGCGCGGGACAGTGCTCTTGCCCAGGGAGCCGCGGGAAAGAAGACGGGTGCCATGAAGTTCGGCAAGAAGCTCCGCGCTACCGTCGATAATAGCTACGAGGAATGGCGCCCCATGTTCATGTCGTACAAGGACCTCAAGGAGTGCATACATCCGCTCAAAGGGGGGGAGGGGAGCAAGGACGCCGACTCGCGCGACCCCAATTCGGACCCAGAGAGACGGCCGCTCGGTGCTGGTGCGGGCGATCGTGCGGGCGATCGTCCGTTTGGCGCCGCCACCGAGCTCGTGAGGAATAAGAGCAACCTGTACGCCGTGCGGCATGCGGAGACAGCACACAGCCGCTTCTTTTCTACATTTCGCCATGAGGTCGACAAGGTCAATGACTTCTTTCTGGACAAGCAGGAGGACTACATCATCGAGCACCGCCAGTTGTCTGAGAAGGTCGCCGAGTATCTAGTTCCGGCCCGCCCGACCCGCACAGAGGTCAACCGCCTGCGCCAGCGCCTCATCAACTTCCACGGCGAACTGGTCCTGCTGGAGAACTTCTCCACGGTCAACTACACTGGCTTCCGCAAGATCCTCAAGAAGCACGACAAAAAGACCGGAACCAATATGCGCAACATCTACCTGCGCACAGTCCTCATCACCCCCTTCTTCCTCTCCAACACCGTGCGCAACCTCATTCTGCAGACGGAGGCCCACCTCGCATCTCTGGACACCGTCCGCAAGTTCCGCCGCGCCGCCGCCACCTCCTCGCTCGCGCTGGACGCCGCCCCGCCGCCGCCCAAGCACCCCGCCTCCGCCCTCCCGCTCGCCCCGGCCACCCTGTCCCCGTGCACCAAGGTCGTCATGGAGCCGCCGCACCCGCACGCGTTCATCTCGCCGCGCTCGGCCCTATGGCGTCTGTACAGCGAGGCCCGCTCGTTCGGCGCCACCATGCGCCACGCCCTTGCGCGCGCGAACGATTCCCCGCCGTCGCCGTCCGCCCGCCCCGCCGTCCCCACGCCCCCGCAGGCACTCCTGGACCTCGTCGACGACATCAGCGCCATCGAGCTCGGCCTGGAGCCCGCCTTCCTCGCCGCCGTCAACCGCCCGTCCAACTACTGCATCGCCGGCGATGACTCCTTCTCCATGGGCTTCTTCATCGTCACCCCGGACACAAAGCTCCAGATCTTCGAGTCGTACCACGGCGGCGCCTTCATTACGAAGAACCTTCGCGGCCGCGCCTCACTACACGTGTACAAAACCGCCGCCGCCACCGCCGAGAAGCCTGCGGGGTCGCACGCGGCGCAGGACAAGCGCGACTTCTTCGTCGAAGAGAAACGCGCAGGCATCACCGTCGGCCCGTGGCCGGCTGTGGCCCGCCACTCGCGCGACATGCATGTGCAGTGGGTGCCGCAGACGCTGTGCGCCATCTTTTACGTGTGCACGCCCTCGCTCACGGCAGACAATGACCGCATGCTATGCTACGAGGCGCATCCGCTCAAGCAGTCGCGCTTTCGCGTGTCAAGTGACCCGGAAAACGTCGTGGAATTTGTCAGGATTACTTGCTGACACGTCTCCTGTCGTTACACGATAGTCGGTTCGTGTGTGCATATGTGAGTCTTTATCGCAGCAGCCCGTTTCGAGTTGACCACACGGCACTTTTTGTTCCTGCCGTGTGTGTAGACGGGGCGAAGACTGGGGGCTACTACGCTACCGAAGCACCTCGCATCCGATCGGTCTCGTACTGGAGAGCCAGCCAAAGCGTGGCGGCGAACACTACCCACCACTTTACCTCGACAAATCCAAATGTACCGAATGTTACTACTAGGGCTAACCCATGCAAAGGTAAAGGTAGGACAAAATGCTAACAAGCCACGCCCTTCTCTTTCAGAAGAAACCGAACGGCCTCCCCGCCTTCTTGTTCTTTTTCTCGGCCTTCTCCTGCCTTTCCTCCTCCATAGCCCTACCATCAATCGGCAAAGTTTCCGTCATAGCTATAGTCATAAACGGCCAAAAGCCTCCCTCGCATCCCGAAAATGCCGTACTCCAGTAACCCTTCACTTTCTTACTCGCCCCCCTACTCGCTACATACCTTTCCACGTTCCCTTGCGCCGGGACCCAGCCGGCCTCCTCCCTCCGATCGCCGACCCACTCATACTCAAACACAGCAATTTCCACAAAAACAGACCATGGCGCGCCGGCCCCTTCCCGCAGCACGGCGCACTTATCCATCGCGCGACACACATACACGTCCTCCGCGCGCTCCCACCTGTCCTCAATCGGCGCATCCATCAAGCAATTAAACAACACTACGGCCCTCGCCAAGCGGCTTGCTTCCAAAACCTGATCCACCTCCCGCCTCCTCCCAGCGCCAGCGCCAACCACAACAACAACTTCCGCGTCCCGCACGACTCGGGATGCGTCACTCAAGTCAACGACGGCGGCCCAGTCGACCTTCTGCGCGGGCTCTGCGCCTTCTGCCATAGCAATAACGAGGCGCAAGCCCTTAAAAATCTGCGCAAAGTGGAGCGCGAGCACGGAGGACTCGCGCACGGCCATGGCGGGCGGGGACATGCGGTACCAGAAGCGGCGCGACCTTCCCATGGGCAGCTCGACGCGCATGAGCACATGCGGCGGGTCGGTGTGCGGATCGTCGTCTGACGCGCGCAGGTGATTAACTACGCAGCCCTGCGCGCGCAGCAGCGCGTGCTCGATAGTCTGCGGAAGGAAGGCTGGGTACGGGTCGCGCCCGTCCGGGCGCGGCTCCGGCGACGGCGCGTGGCGCGCACACGTGGGCACGCGCTGCCGCCGGCGCGTCTTCGCGCGTGGGAGGGGGGCGGGGACGAAGAGGGGCAGAGACATGGAGAAGGCGGGAAGAGGGGGAAGGGCGGCGTCCGGGGAGAGGCAGAGTGCCAGGGGACGCACGGGGGCGCGGAGATGTTTTGGGGGGGGGGGGGAGATTTTGGAGGGCTTGGTGGCAGCGTGGACACGTGGGACGCGCGGAGAGCGGAATGGGCGGCGATTTCGGGGCGCGGGGTGGGGTGGATCGCAGCGAGTGGAGCGAGGGCTGTGGCACGGCTGGATATAGAAATTGGCAATCAGCGTACAGTATGCACTTCAGTCCATTACTGCAAGGTAGGTGCACCTGCTTGTTTTTCTCTGCCCTTATATTCAAGGCCCTCTCTCGAACAGCGGGAGAGGAGGAAGGAGATAAACTTTAGACAGAGTAATGTTCAACGTCCCGCTGGTGAAGTGGCTTCATCACAAGAGCTCCCACCATTGCGAGACATCAACTCGGTAGAAGGGTTAACGAACATTAAATTATCTTTATTTTTCCTACCTCACCCGCGTATTTCTGTGCAATATCACACCGGATGCGCGGCGACGCGGGGGGCCGTTCGCTGGTGTAAACGCGGGAATGCGAGGGCGTCAGGCAGGTGCGCGGCGGGCGTGGCGGGAGGGGGCGCGCGGGCAGGGACCAGGGACTCGGACCCGGGGGGGGGGGGGGGGGGGGGCGCGTCGCCTCCTCCATCTACGTGGGTCGCAGGTATCGGTTTGATCTTG